TGCAGGCAGGGGAAGGATACAACTTCTGGATGAGGTCGTAGGCGTGCCGGTAGTTCTGGGTGAGGAAGCAGAGGGACACTGTGGTGACCGGGTTGTGGCACCAGGAGCGGTACAGGCAGCAGAACAGGTTCTGGCTCTCCTGAGAGACGAGGTACAAGAGGAGCTTCAGGAGAGCCCCCGCCACTCCTGCCGCCAGGCCTGGCTGAGGACCTGCAGAGCCCAGGGCCCCTCAGAAGCAGCCGGAGCCAGCTCAGCACCCCAGGCTGCTTGGCAGCCCAGCTGGGAATGGAAGAGTGGTCACAAAGGAAATGCTGACAGCTCCTTCTCAGACCCTGTCATTACTCCCGGGCCACAGAGCCACGTGGTGGCGGCGAGGGCCTGGTCTGAGCAAGCCTCTCTGTGCCGCTGTTCCTGCCCGCGGCAGAAACACAGTAATTGTCCTCCCAGAGCTCTGTGGTCCCGGAGCCCTTGGGGCTGGGAAGGCAAGGGGCTGTGGTGGGGAGTCTCCCCTCTACCCTCAGATGCCATCCCCTCCCACCTCTGCAGCCTGCCTCGTATGCCCAGAACCATCCGAAACCAGCCTAGGCATGAACCCAGATTTGGGGGAGCCTCTGTCCCCAAGAAAGACTCTTCAAACCTCTGCGAACTGAATGTCTAAAGGATCCACAGGAGGAAGGCAGGCTGTGGCACCCAGCCGCATGCTCCAGACGCCCTCAGACATGGGCTTGGACACCCTCGCGACTCTGGAGAGGTGGGGGCGGGGTCTGCAGGGTCTGTGCTGGGCAGGGGGCAGATCTGAGGGTGATGACCAAAGCCCAGATTGGGGAATGAACCCCAATGAGCCCCTACCTCCATTACGGTCCTACCCTAGGAGGCCCTGCAGCCTACCTCCCCGGGCCAGGCCTCCGCTTCTCCCTTGCCCTGCATGGTAGAGAACCTCTCTGTTCTCTGACCCGCCCGTGGTGCTCCCTCATCCAAAGCCTGAAACAGGCAGAGACGAGACACCTGGTTATGACAGGTGCCTTACGAGACAGATGTGTCCAGCTGTGGAAGAAAAGGGCCAGGCCAAGGAGGGCGAGGAGTGATGCTTCCGAGGCCTGCATCTGAGAGGTGCCACTGCCCTGTAGGGTGGCCCGTAGCTAGCAGAGCTGCTTCTCAGGAGGGGCAGGGCCTGAGCTGGCTGGGTCAGTGGTGAGTGCAAATGGCAGGGCACTGGGTGGGTCAGGGAGGGCCCCAGGCCCTCGACAGCACACAGAGCCTTCTGTGAGCAGAGAGCCTGGTGGTGGAGACTCCTCGGTACTTGGCGCCTACACCTAGTCATCCACCCAGGGGCCCTACTTCACACTGGACCAGGGCAGAGCTTGGTTTTACCTCATCTCTTCCCCGTATCCCTTCTGGCCGGCCAGTGGGAGGCTCTGCATGCAGGGTGACGCTGGGCCAGAGCCCATGGGCCAGCCAGGGGGAGGCTCTACATGCAGGGTGATGCCGGGCCAGAGCCCATGGGCCGGCCAGGGCGGGATCTGCACGCAGGGTGACACCGGGCCAGAGCCCATGGGCCGGCCAGGGGGAGGCTCTGCACGCAGGGTGACGCCGGGCCAGGGCCCAAGGTACAGTACCAGGGTCCTGAGGTCCTTGAGCTGGTTCCTCAGCTGGAAGAGCTCAGTGGAGGTGAGCAGGATGGTGTTGAGGGTATGGACCATGGTCGAGGCGAACTTGAGGTCCTCCTCACGCAGCAGGATGTCCGCCATCGAGTGGAAGATGTTCTCCGCGTTCAGCAG